TTTTTTTTTTTTTTCGGAAACGCAGCAGTCTCGTTGTTCCATTTCTTTCTTTCTTTTTGCAAAATTTGCCCACTGCGTGTATATACGGTGTAACAAAATCGAATGGGTGAAAGAACTGAGGCAATCGTGTCGCAATACGCGCCATGCGCCTCGTAGACGATGATATAACGTCGTGCCGCCTCTTATCATCTACGCGTGCACGAAAACACATGCACGATATCGTGTTGCTACTCGCGTGTATGTGCCTCGTACGATCGGCGTGAACTATTCGTTACGCATGCACTCTGCATCATGGTCGGTCAACCTAGCTTAACCTTCTATTACGTATCACACGTACACCAGAGACGTACGCGCGCGCATGTAAGAACAGAACACGGATATGGCAAATATATACGCGACCGATGCATATTTTCTAGCTGTACAGACATGCTTAGTACAGATATGCTTAGTATATATATAACAAGATTTCGTGTTTCGCTTTTACACGTATAATATATAAACATATATTATTATTTAGATGGAAAGTTATCTTTTACTATCGTTATTATTATTATTATTATTATTATTATTATTAATATTATTATTATTATTAACAACGTACTACCAATAAATTTACATTTTCTTATCTAACGTGTCAGACGATTACCGCAAACCATTACATTTCTTTCTGTACGTCCGATGGATTGCGTATTCTTTACATTGCCATTAGTTACACGCGATTTATATATTATTGTTATCCGTTATGCGCTTTATTATACAAATTATACAGATAAGAAACCGAAGGAACTGTAATGAATATTTGCCACGCGGAAGAGTTTAGTCACCAACACGGAAAATAAAAGTATAAACGTTCCGTCTCGTTCGGGCAAAATTCACATAACATAATTGTAACGCATTAACGATCAATTACTTCGAACGTTTTATCTTCGTACGATACGCCAGTCAAGAGGCGATACACACAGAATGCAGCACGATTGCCATCTCGATTTTAATCGTTTAGATTAGATCAACTGCGTCGGCTGGCATTCGAGCCGCGACACACATGGAAATCAATATAAATCGATCACTGAAAGTCGATTTAATCGATACGATGATAAACTACCATGATGTGTCCTCATGTGTATTGTATCTGTTGCAATTGTCATATTTCAAATATACGTTGACATTACGTTCTACACATTTCGTTTATCAAACGAAAACGATTTTTACACACGTTCGAGATCGTACGTCGAGGCCGCCGCTATCCGCAGAAAATGCACGTTCGTGAAAAATGAGATGTCGCGGTGTCCGGTGGTGGGGATTGACGCATCGTGTAAACCCGCGAAACGTGCAAACGAAAATGATGAGAAGCATTAACCGCGTACGATGATTGACGCTCGAAAACATATCGGTGAAGTTCGCCTTACATAACACGACAGTTTTTTATTTGCTTCTGGAGTGATCCGCGTCTAACAAGATAGAGATCGAACGAACGCGGAACTCGCGTTTATATTTTGCCAATCGCTTCGATTATCTCGTCGCTGATAGTTAACTAATCGATGCATTCGCATGTCCTACTTACGGATCTATTGTAAATAGCGGAGTTGCTGGAAATTTACATACGAAACTAATCAAACTGTTAGAATTAGGTACGACTATGTCTCTACATCCACGAATATTTGTTCATATATGCAATGATCTCGCTCGCAAAACGTATCAAAATTACTGACTTACCAAGCGCTCAAACCGTTACCGTCGTGGCATTGCACATGTGACAATACTCGGGTTCGATAAACGGGCACACTTACAAACAGAGGGGCACTCACCTTTAATTCATTGGCGAACGATCATCACGAGTTCTGCAATGCACTTCGCAAACGATGCTGAACATTCAATCAAACCGGATAAAAGAAGACAGTTGCGGGAAATCGAAGTTCAGAACGCGCGCAAGCACTACGCGACAGCAAACACTAACGCAGTCTCGTAGATTGCCGCTTGGCCGGCAGAGCGCCAGAATTTCGGAATGCTTTAAAAAACCGTGTTCCTTGAGATGGCGACACCTTCTGACGGAAGCCGGAGCCTCCATTGGATCGCGAATCGATATTAAGCCGCGAACGGGATTGTGGGTCCGCTGTTTCCCCTTCGCCGAGAAACGCGCTAAACAAATTTTCGAATTTGCCCCAATCACGTCGCGCCGTTCTCCACCAATCAGCTAACGGTTAGTTCAAATTCGAATTTGCTGCAGTAAACTAACGTACGTGGCGTGCTCTCTGTCGGGCCAGATTTTTTTTTCTTTTTAAACGCACGGAATACCTAAAATCATTGCAAAATTTCGTTCGAATTGTATGGATATCGTAATTGTAGTATGTCGACGCGCTGTGCAATAGAAATTTAACGCGGAATATCGTGCGTGATAACCAAGTAATACATACGTGATAATCAATTTAGTGCGGGATACTATTCGACGGGATAAACTTCATTTTTTTCTTTTTTCTTTCTTTTTCAATTAAACAACGATAACGATCAATAAAAGTGTTGGAAGATCGAAAGGGCAATTGTGAAAGAAATTTTGTACAATTAGGCGATTTCACTACCTTTGCATTACGGAGGTATGTATTTCTTTCCATCATTAAATTTTCTCATGAAAAATCGAAGTATTTGTTCACTTCTCGACTAATTTAAGAATGTGATGATACTTAAGACTTGATATAACGTGAAAAAATAAAATTTTTCGAATTTTTTAAAACACGAGATAATTTACACAAAATCAGAATAATATATGTATTAGTTAAATAATTCTGTATATGAAAAGTTTTGAATTTAAAAAACAAATTATATCTTAATATCATGTATTATGCTTGTAATACTGGTCTTTCGTGTTTGCCTTCTAAACTATCGTTAACAGCTGAATATCCAGTACCACCCTAAAATAAAGCAAAAATTATCATTATTACGTTATTCTACTTTAATGACTTTTACTCTTATTCTTAATAATTACCCTTTGGAGAGGTATAATATCTGATTCAGTCAATTTCGTACTGTCTAAAGGATTGATCCAATCTTTCTTTATGATTTTTTCTACACATTCCATTGTAATCACATCGCCACTGAAAAGATCATGAAACAATTGCTTATATTATACGTAAGAAGTAATGTAACAGCAGAAACAGTAGAAAGTGAAAGTCATACGTTGTCCTTATAACTGCACATGGTACACTGTTACTTAAGATGTCATGTGTAATTGGACACATATATCTTGCTTGTTTAACAATAAGAGACTTCTTGTCATCTGGATCTTTTACTTCAGTAAATTTCACAGGAATAAGATCTTTTATTTTCAATGGTTTTCCACTAAGAGGACAATAAATTGTCTTGTCTGGTTTCTGTAATGTAATTTCCTTTGCCTCCGGTGTCTTAGATGGAATCCAAAAGCTTGGTAACATTTTATCGTTACCATTACTCATGTTTGAAACTGAAGATGTAGATTCTTTGGTTATAATCTGACTTCGAGAAACAATGTTTTTCTCTCCCTTTAAAAACTTTTGCAATTTCTGTAGCTCTTCATTAGCACTTCTTTCATTTGATTGTTCCTTGAAAAATTATAAAAAATGATAACAAAAAAATAGTTGATAACACTTTCATTTATATATTTCTATTTACCTGTTCTTGTTGTTTTTGTTTCTCATACTCCTTCAATTTCCTTCCATATTCTTTCTTTTTGGTTAAAACATATTCTAGTATTGCTTCTTTGTCAAACAAATAGCCATCCTTTCTGTAGGCAAAATTTACTGTTGGGTATGACAATGATATGGCAATATGAAAATGAATATGAAAGTATACAAACGTTATGACAGGATTTCTGCAAGGTTGTAATGTTAAGCAGCAACAATCAAAATCCTTGACTGAATCTTTTCCCACTCTTTGTGTATTTGTACCATAACCCGATGCTGTTGCGTCCTTCTTCTTTTCATGATAAGTATAAACAGCACCAGCTGTACAATTTCTTGCGTGACGCGTCATATTTTATTTATTGACTTGTTCAATCTAACTTTCAGTCCAACATACTCTAATTGCAGTCAGTTTACTAACGTAACCTATCTAACGCCATCTATATTATTTAGCGCCATCTATATTATTTAGCGTTACATTATATATGTATGTATAAACAATTACATCTTTATTTTTTATGTTCATTTCAAATGTATATAATATATATAATTTTTACAAACGAAATTATATATAACTTACTATTTCTAGTACTACTTTACTACTACATATTATTATTGTTATTTTAGAAAATATACAAAATATAAATATATATCTTAGGAAATAATGTACACAATATAATCTTTATATACAAAATTATATATAACATTTATTATTTTATAGACAATGAATTTACATTTAAATTCTTGTATCTACATAGAAATGATATAGAGTTCATATAAATGGAATCTCATTCATTCTCGTTTATTTACAAGTCATATAATTTCATTTATGTACATGATAATGGTAATTTGAGCAAAACTTTAGAATTATTGGTCAGTTATAAGTGAATCGGGTTATCTCCTCTTGTCATCGCTGTTAGTGTCAGATGAATTGTCTTTTCTATGTTTCTTGTATCTTTTATGTTTAGATTTTTTCTTTTTCTTTTTATGTTTATGTTTCCTATCTTCGTCACTAGAAGCTTCTGTGTCTGATTCACTGTCACTTGTCTCTGATCTCTTGTGTTTCTTGGATTTTTTCTTATATTTCTTTTCTTTGTGCTTCTTCTTGGCCTCTTGAAGTTTCTTTTTCAATTCTTTCTCGCGTAATTCAGTCAGAGGAGTGACATAATTTTCATCACTATCGGAGCTAGTACTGCTAACATCTAGAACTATTTCTTTATTTGGGTCAACCTTAATAAAATTACGACACTGATATGTAAGATGCCCAGCATATCCACATTTCTTGCATGCTGGACGTACATGCTCTTTATTTTGTGGAATTAATCTAGAAAGAAACTCTGGATCCATACCTATAAAATAAATATAATATCATAATAACAGCTTTTTAGAATGTAACAATTTAACAGTTTGATAGAATATATTTTATATTATATTTTAAAATATATAGAATATATTTTAAATTCAACTTGAGTAAACATTATAAATATTATTGGCAAACAGTTAATATTTCATAACAGATAAATGTAAAATATTAATTTCAATTTGTATTTTACAATTAGTATTTAGTATTTGATATTTATAAATAAAGTCTATACTAACCTCCAATATTCTAGCACAATTAGAATTTGTCTGTTTTGTTGCCTTTTAACAACTTGATGAATTTTAGATTTCACATTTATTACATAGTTGTATAAATCTGAGTACAAATGTACTCAAGCAACAATATACTCAATATATATATAAAAATTATACGTCACAGGAGCATAACAACTTATAAGCACTGCGTCACTTCTACCGCCATTACGATTCTAGTTCTCTCTGTTTACTACGTCACTGTTGTATGTGACGTCATTTAAAAGCTTGTATTTATATATTGTCGCCATTGCTTCCATGGATTGAACATTGGCGGAATATTCAAATACACAATAAAAGAGACAAAAAAAATTTCTTGGCATTCTTGCACGAATGAATTAATATTATTAGTAAAATTAGACAAGTTACAAGTCACAAATTATTAATAAGATTTTTAAAAGAATTTTATAAATTACAGATTCTTTGGTTTTCAATTTTCAATTGACAAAAAATTATTAAATTACAAGGGGGGAAGTTTATAATCCACAATTCGTAACTTTCCAATATTTACTAATTATCAATAAATGAATTAACATGCAAAGGGTTTTGATAATAATAATTTCATTGCACGTCTTATTATCATAAAAGTAGATTCAATAAGATGTAAATAGGAGATACTAAATACTTTCTAGAATGATTTGTAAATCACGAGTTCATCAAATTCAAGCGTATCTACATAATTAATATACAGCTCTACTTCTATCTCTAATAGCAACATCTACGATATCGTGAAAATGAGCTATGAATACTTTTATTACTTACAATTGCCTGCACAGCAATCGAAATATCGTAAGAAGAAATCCTTTTATTACAACGTTATAAAATCTACATTTACATTCACATTCACGAAATGAAGCGACGGCTATTCTTTTTTTTTTCCTCCTTTTTTTTTTTACTTTTTAATATCCGCGTCGAAGTTGACGCTTGCAAAAAATACATCAATGCGAAATACATTCAGTACAAAATAAACATATTTATGTATCATATAATATACTATATCAACTAAGAAGTCTCGCATTGCTTCAAATTATAATTGTATAAGTTATACGAGGCTCGTGATACCCATCTCTACTTGACTAAACTAACACAATACGTTGATCTTTTCTATGCTACGTTTTTCGATCGATCTAGATTTCTTACTTATTGTTAGTCGATGGTTAAATAATTTTGTATGCTTCGTCATGCAGACGATATAATGGACATTTATTCAGACACAACATCGAGTTTACTTGTTTTTCTTTTTTTTTTTTTTTTTTTTTGCTTTCTTTTGATTAGTTTCGATTACTTATTAATTACTTTACAACAGAGAGTAGTACGTTTTATACGAGTATCGTAAACGAAGTGCAGCCTATATAGAAGGCTCTATATCAACACGAATTTCGTTTCTAACACTTCGATCGAAGATTTACACAAAGGAAACGAGAGATTTTATTTTATTGTGAGTTTATGGTCCTCAGAGTTTCAAGTACAGTGGCTTTCGACAATCACGTTCGAAAAATTCGTAAAACTTACCCAGACAGTCATTGCACAAGCCATCAGGAAGATCAGTTGCAATTTGTCGAAGATTTTGCTGCAAGCTCTAACATCGATGGAACGTTGTTTCACTTGCCAATTATTGGTAACAGAAATAGTTTCAATTGTAATTGCGATAAGTTTCGATCGTATCAAATTGCAGTCTTCGTTTTCTTTTTCTGGCACTGACTACCTGAGTATCACGAAATAACTAGTTTTATAAATTTCTTTTTAAAGTGTGCCGAGTACTTACATTATATCATATTTATATATAGTTAGAAACGATATAAATTCATGTATGTATAAACGCACTATGTTGTACGTGCAAACAATTGGAAACGTTCGCGACATAAATGTTATTGCAAAAGCTCGCAGTAATAAAAGATAGTCGATCAATAAGATAATCGTATAATCGAATACGTAATATGTAACGCCGATATGTCATGATTGAGACTTTAATTTCAATGCCATTTCGATTTGCACGTTGGTTTTTTAAACATTTCTTTTTCTCGATCGAAACGGAGATACTTGGAAATTCTTCGAGACGAAGCAAACGGAACTTGCAGCAAAGAGTTAGTCGTTTCTATTACAATATGTTCTATCACTAATGCACTAATGTACTGATGTTTAAATATTAAATCTTTGTAAATGCAAAATATAGTACCTAAATGAAAAAGTACGAAATTTCATACGAAATGCTTAAATACCGTTACGGATACAGAATTGATAATTCTAAAGTATCATCTATTCATGCACTATTCAGATATCTAAGACTCCAAAAGAAATCGTGTCTCTTGAAAATAGAAGCAATAATAATGTAAATGATTTTTCACATGAAAAATGGAAACTGATTAACTGAGTTAATTAGTTACAAGAGCATAGCATTTTGGTTATCTACAACATCTGGTATACTGCTTCTTCTTTCGTAAACTGCGCTATGTCTACTTTGATCTACGACTAAACTACCCCAAAAAATAATAGTTGATTCGTAATAGTTAACAGCTTGTTTTTTTTTTATATTCGGCGGCATATACCACGTAGCACCATATAATCGTAGAGTGGCGGTGGTATTCACTGTACCACTCATTTTTGAAGATGATCCGTGGATGATTTTCGTTCGGTTCTTTGCGTTTATTTGTACTGATCTTCGCGCTGATTTCGAAAGGAAGAAACCAATGTTCCAATTCGCGGCAACGGTTTTAAATTCACGCTGGTGGTGATAGAGCAACTTTCATTCAACACAGTTCTTTCAATAATGAGTAGTGGAACTATTCGACAGCAGAGGTAAATAGACGTAACGATATATAAAACAGTAATTCCAATAT